ATGAAATCTGTTGTGCCAGCTCTCTTCTTCTATACGAATCATAGGAAGAAGGATGAACTCTCACGGTATGAAGCCATGGTTTGGAAGCTCATTCTGTCCTTTCAGTGGCTAAAACTGATTTCAGTTGATTGTTGGAGACAATCTGTTCACTCATACCTGGTCATTAGCAGTGGAGATCCAGTTTTACCTAATTGTTCCTTTCATCTATTTATCCGAACGAATTCTCGGAACTCCAAAATCAGCTATTTTTATTCCTGGCCTAGGTAGTATTATAATAGTTCTTTACTTAGCATATCTCATCACAGCTGTCTGTTCTTTCGTATTCTACATATGTGTCGATGAAGATACTTCCTTCAACTTCGTATTTTCTCGTCTTTGGCAGTTTCTTGCTGGTAAGAAGTATAATCTATTGTAAAATCGAGATTTAAGGATACTTGACTTACCTGAAGGAATATCATCGAATCATTGAGCAACAAGATTTGAACGTCCAGTACAAAGAAACTGTTCTGACGTCAAAAAATCAAGGAGACTCTAGAGGGAATGTGTTATCTCTAATTCTATTTATGGCGTTGTTGATCATTGGGCTTGTACCGCAGAATTATCAGTCAAAAATTTGCTTTTTCCGGTGAGTATTTTCTACGATATCATAATTAATGAATTTTAATCTTAGACCATGTGTCACCCTTATGTGTTCGCTGTGGATAGCTGGCGAAGGAGGGAAAGAAAGATGGGTAATAAGCCTTTGGCCACTTGTTTACTTGGGAGATGTTTCATATATTTTGTATTTGGTACACTATCCAGTATATGTGTTTCTCAACCTACATGCTCTTACATCAGAGTACTGTTAGTTAGATTATTAACAAACTCTTAGAGATTATGAGTATTTTTCTAGGGAGAACGTTCGGACTGCTGTTCGCTGTTGTTAGTTCTGCCTTACTGCATCATTATTTTGAAAAAGAATATTTAAAATGGAATAGCAGATCTGTGTTCACTTTCATAACATTCCTCTATATCTCAATCATTCTGATTGTTGTCCATGATCAAGAACTTCAGGAAATGATATACGGGAGACGTATAGATTATGAGAAAATGCTCGAAGCGCCCGACAACTATACCCTGAGTTCATCTATTCATTTCGTCTCATTTTGTATAATATTTTTTCTCAGAAGAAATAGTAGCAGCAAACGATTTATTCAATGTTGATGACCGGGAGAGACTCAAACATTCGGCTTGTTCCTATACTGACGGTGAAGGACCATTTGGTGAATGCGAAGTTCGGGTATGTTTTGATGGAATATTGAATACATTTTTTTGAAGATGAATTCATCAGAAGAGGTCACAGCAATGGTGATTGGAAATAGCTATGCACCAAACATGTTTCGAATCGTTCTTGATAGCTGTCATAAGAATTTCAATAAGATCATCATGAAATCTTACCCAGGTTACTACAACAGCATAGAAGATGCTCATACTCAGAGAAGTTTTAGCTTGTGAACCATTGTGGAAAACGAAAAAATATCGTTTTGATTGTAGCAATGCTATAGATGAGTTGTCTCATTCATTGAGACAAAGAAATCCAGATTATCTGTTCATTCTGTCCAGGTTTCCCTACTTCGCACTCTCCAAATCATCGCTTTAGCAGACACATCTCACTCATTCCTCACGGGTTTATAAGCAGATCAGTAGAAAACAAGAAATCACTTATTGTGGCTAACATTTTGGAGAAATATGTGCCGTTTGTTAAAAAGAAAATTTTTATTCTGGATGCGTTTCCACGTCCAAAAGCAAAAATCGGAGAGTTGGTGAATGCATATCTTCTAGAAAATCATACAAAATCAATACCTATACATGTACAGGTATCCTTATGAGTGAATGCTGTGATATCATTTTTCTGCAGCAAACCTATGAAATGAAAGATGCGCGTTGGCAATCTGCTCATAGGGTTCTGGAACAAGCAATGAAACAATGCCAAAAGTGTACTCTGATAAGTATCAATTCGTTCCTCTCAAACAAGAAAAATCAGTTTCAATTCGTAAATGAGACAAATGGTTTGTTGTACTTTGTTAATAACAAACATTTGTCACCTTATGGACTTAAAACAGTTCAACCACTGTTCAAAGACATTTGCAATCATATTGTCTCCTAAGTCTATCCACTCGTTCTTGTACTCAATATGCTGTTATCGTAGATATTTGAGGATAGCAAATATGTATGAGAAAGTAATGAAGTGTAGTAAAGTGTTTTTAAAATATATGTATAATCAAATTACTATGAATGATAATTATTTTATTATCGCAGAAAAGAATTTATTGTGAGATCAGGTTCGTTCAAATGCTCTGTTCCGGAAGCCGTTGTTTGATAATCTCTTATCGAACTTCCGGAGAAATGTATATTGCGAGTAAAATCGAACATCAGGAATGATTGGAAATGAGCCAAACAAATCATGAAATATAATTATAAATTTAATAGGAAAAAAACCCTAATAAGCGAACAGCAAATGGAGTGCTTTAAATTATTGGTGATAACATTCTGATCAACACCTCCCACACACATCTCGTTCCCTGGAAAAATCTAACCATACCAGACAGACCGCCTCTTTTCCATATTAGTCATTGATTTCTAGTTAAAAGAAAGCAAATAAGAAACTCTCCATTTAAATACGCGCTATCACTATTTTCTTAAACGCCAAGGTGAAAGACGCCTTCACCTCTCTCTCTCTCTCTGATGCACACAATTCCAACTAATGCAAATCAATTACTTTTTAATTCCTAAAACAGTTCAGATAATGGATGAAGATCGCTCTAACCAAGATCCTATTGTAAACCCAGAGGCAGAGGAGTTAATGAAGAAACTCGATTGGGAAGTTCCATTTCTTCTTGATTGGTGCCTAGAACACACGGATAAGTGTGTGGATTTACATACACAAGGTTCTATACTATATTTATTTTATCCTTATGCATTACTTTATTTCAGCATAAATAATTTCAATAGAATTCAACAAATTAGAATGGAAAGATTCAAGTGCTGCTTGAGCCCAACTCATTCGTCATACTCAAATGTCGTGCAGATATCTTCGACACTATGAACCCATTGCTCCATTATTCTATTGATTTGTAAATTAGTCTTATAATAAACATATTAACTTCAATGCTTTGATTTGTAATTTAAACAATGATATTAAAAATTTGTGTGAACTGCTCTCCAAACTCATCCAACTCCATATCTAGTTAAAATGCCTTTTTGAATATTGATTATCGATCCATATCGATTTGAAACACCTTATTTGAAATACCATAATCGGAAGTACGTAGGTAATACTTGGTTCACAATATAATCTAATATTTTCGAATAATTATAACTATTATGGGCAGAGCTCAAATTACGTACACATATATGATAGTGAGTCTTGAGCAAGTTAAGTACAGCTGAATGAGGCGGTGAGATCTGGAGTATTAAAGATATTTTTTTGTATCGTGTGTCTGTGATATTATCCATCGTTTTAAGATATTGAGATGTTCAAGCGTTAGTTGCTGTGATCTTATATATGATATGGTATATAAATCCTCCATGATGTTCGCTTTGATTACTTCAAGTTAGAAAAATCTCATTGAGGCGTCAAGATGGGAACAACAGAATTTCACTGTTTTCCTGCAATGTAACGTTGGGAAGAGCATGAATGTCAACCAGGCGACATCACAGTAGCCTTTTGTCACAATCTAGGATCTCGTTTACAACTGGAAACAACCTGTAAGCTTAATTCAAACACCTCTGTTATCCTTGAAGATAGAATGGTGTAGGACGTTTGGGATACAGTTCAACTGACTACATCTTTATTGTTGATTTTTTTATTGTTTTAATATGAACTTAGATAGATGGAACTTGATCAGCAGCAAACAAAAATATCAAATAATGAAGTGTTCTATCACTGATGATTCATAAATCGTGATATCGATGAACCTTGTATGATACTGATCATTTGAGCAAAAGTAGTTCATTTGGTTATGAAGTATTTCCATAGCTGGATGGTTCAATGGAAAACTCTGGCATCGCCAAGTTTGATGCACAAAGATTACGGAAGGGTCGGGACAAGAATGAATGAGATTCATTTCATTTCATTTAACTCTGTCTGAACTATTGAGCGGTTGTGCTATGATATCGTGCAGAACGAACATTTCTCAATTTGCTAGAACTGAATTAATTTTAGTCATCTCCGTCTTTCATTTCACAGAAGCCATTTGATTCTTCACCTAAGTCTAAGGATGCTTTGTTTTTTTGTCATCTAAGCAACTGAACTTCACTCCCTTCTTTAGTGAATTACATAAGTACTTTCTGATTAATGGATTTTAGATCTACTAACCAAATAGTGATACTCAGCATGATTTTATCAAATTATCAATTTCTCATTCATGGAATATGACGTCTCAACCTAAACATAAAATGTAATGTTTAACTATTCTAATTATGATCAACGTACTCTTAAGAGACGTGGAGGGAGACGCAGCTGGAAGACACAGCTTGTTAAACTCAAAAGATCAGACGATGGGTATGCTCTAGTGAAGTAAGGAAATCAAGAGTACAGAAGAGAAGAAGGAGGAAGATGGTCTCTTTTTACTTCATCGATACAGATATTCGATTAAGAATGATTTTTGATTAATAAAAAACTTTATAAATATTTTCATCATACGCAATCACATTTGCATATGATAGAAGAACAAACATATATCATGTGTATAGTATTATCGATAAATCAGGTTAACGACACATGTTTGTGTTGACTGTTTTCATACCAATAAACTAGACCAAACTAGATACACTCTAACAAATATTGTAAAATACTGTACTTGATGGTATTGAAACACTTGTACCATCACAACGAGTATCATATGCTAAGTGCAGCCACATTTTGATATTTGTTCAATTGCACAGCAGTTGTATATGGTTATCCAAATTGTAATTTTGTACGAATAAGGTTCAAAATTCAAATATTGAGTTGCTGTGTTACCGTATCGTATCTAAATAGGAAAGTTGCTTCCAATCGTCTTTACTATGTACTACTCACCTGCCATACATTTTTACCTTTTTGTGGAAATGTAACAATAACATTGAATCGTTCATCATCTCTACGTGTCAAGCGTATTCGATCAGACAAATTGCTTGATGTTCCATAGACTACCTTCAAGGTTTGATTGATGATGTACTAAAAACATATTCAGTTGTAACCTCTGTTCTCCTTCCTGTAGCAGTAAGATTAGACTTCTCTCCTTGAAGATTAAGAACCACCCTGGAAAGAGTAAATGTTTATAGGTTATTGCTCGGTGTTTTCAAATATTTCTTCGGTCGTGTAAGTTCAACATGCTATATCGTTTAATGTATTTGAATCGTTTGTATTTCTTATTGTTCTGTTTACAACGATCAAGACAATTCGATTTTACAGCTTTCTCTGACCCAGCCGATTGGCAAAGTATCTGGGAGATGCTGCACTAGATGGCACAAAACCATATCTCTCGCTCGAGGAGTGCTGTACTAGTTTGAAACCACCAGAGGTATGATGCAGTAGTAGTAACCGAATCGAACAATACCCTCTTTCGGCTGCTAGCAGTAGAAGCATAAAATATCGGTTGCTTATTTGCGAGATGATGGCAAACAATATGGTTGATAAAGAATGAAAAATTCACATCGAGCTTGATGAGTTCATTCTGCCGTCGTAACGAAATCCTTTACAGGTTCCTGGTATCGGAACTCGAGCCATCGAATCACTTCTCTGGAAGCTTATATGGCTTGAAAAATTGGAACTTCAACTTCAAACTCACACAATATTTGAAAAAAAAGAATAAATGAATGGCAACGATTAGCACAGCTCTCATCTGTAGTTGAGATAGAACTAGGTGAGTTCCTTCTAACTATACCTACAAACGTTTAGCTTTTTCTGAGGCTGTAAAATGAACATCGTCAATTGTCTTGGTAACAGAAACAGACGAATGTAAATGAAAGAACATTCAACATGCTCATAACTTGTCGCTAGGATTTAGTTTTTTCTGACAAACTTTTTTATTCCAGCAGATTTTTTGCATGGGACGTTCCATTTCATTAAATCTAAAAGAATTTTGGAAACGAACAGGGTAAGACCAGGAGCTCGGTTGTATCTCTCTAAACTTCTTTAACGGTATAACATACATCAAGCATGCTTGCTCGAAAAAATCTAAAGCCTGTGTAGTTTATATTATGCAAATGATAATCTCTTTTCTTCAGGTACATGGACAGACGTACAACAATTCGTTCAAAGAATTCTTTTGATTGATATGTCTAGAACTCCTTCATACACTTCTGAAAAGGAGTGAATGGTAGGAATGAGTATGTTTTCTACTATTTATCAAAAATAAAACATTCCTTTCATGATACAAGATGTATTTGTTTAGATTTTGGAATATGTTCGAACTGTTAAGGGAAAGCTCACCGTCAATGAACATTTGATTCTTTTTTCTCTTTCCTCCTCCTTTCTCGACCTCTCCTTTTCCTTTCCTCTTTCTCCTCTTTTGTGTATAAGATCTCTATTTACCTCACTATGGATACAGTTCTTTGATTACCATTCCATATTCTCCATTTACTACCATTATCTCTTCATATCACAATCCGTTACTCTCTTTTGCATTTTGTACGATATCCCACCTTTTTTCTTAACTGCAACGCTTTTGTGCAGTTGCAACTGTATACTTATCCATTTACCCTGCTATGGCTAAACGTCTAGACTTGCAAGAATTACGCGGAGTTTTCATTTTACAAGTTTTGTTCTTCCATTTTTTCCCATCCCTCTCACCAAATGGATACGTTGGTGTTGATGAGTGAGTTCTTGATTGTACTTCAAGTGAAGAGAACGAACGTTTTTCAGATTCTTTGTGCTGTCCGGATACTTGATAGCTCTTGTACTGAGTCGATCATCTGAATCTTACTTGGATCATCTTTCAAATTTTTATTATTCGAGAATTAAACGAATTTTACCTGCCTATGCTTTGTTCATATTAATATCCATCATTTCTCTGTATACCATATATCCATTGTCCAACATTGACCTCAACATGGATTCCATCTACTCAGTCATATTCTTCTATCGCAATATGTTAGGAACAGACAAAGGAAAAGCTTATAGAGCCATGGTAATCACAGTAATTTCTAAAGAGATAATACAAATTATTTTAAGCTTGCCATAGCAGAAGACATTTACACACATACGTGGTCATTGGCTGTTGAAATTCAATTCTACGTACTTGTACCTCTCCTCTTCTCTCTCAGACATAGATTCAAAACTAAATTTAATAAAATAGTCTGTATTACAGGTAGGTAGTAGATACCTTTTTCAGAAAAGTACTTGAGATTTTAGCTTTCTTTTCCTGGCTTTTCAGTATCTGCTCTAGTGCAGATGTTTCTTTCAATAACGTGTTTGCTCGATTTTGGCAGTTCTTAGCAGGTTCGAAAATGGGTTGAAACATCGAGTGATCATCTTCATTCAAGGAAGTATTGTTTTCCTTCATGAGCAGAAAGATGAAGCCACGAAGTGTCAACGCACACCATTAGTGAATGACAATGATATTCCGGGTAATTGCAATCATTAGACTTTCCATGACATAGCCGTCTTCAGAAAATGAATCGGTAGTGAAGTCAAGAAGCATCAAGAAGATCTTATTCTTATTGATTTCTTTTGTAGGATTTTACCCCTACGATCTTGATGCTAAAACAGTGAGGTAAGATGGTCTCAGTTCAAACTATAAGTTAGTACTTTTCAGGCTCTGCTCAACTGTTCTAATATCTTTGGCCATTGCAGAGGGCAAAACATCATGCACACCATATAGTTTACTGTCTCGACCTCTTGTGTATCTTGGAGATATTTCTTACGTATTGTATTTAGTTCATTGGCCAGTGTATGTATATTTACATCTGAATAATCATCTCAAAACATGTCGTAAGTAGCTTTCATAAAACACTCAGTACAACACCTCTACTCTCAGATCTAACAATAGGACTGCTGATCTCCATTGTGATCTCTATACTTTTTCATGAAGTTTATGAAAAAAAATATTTATCATGGGACAAGAGAGAAATATTGAATTTGCTACTATTCCTTTATACGCTCATATTCATACTGTCTTTCAATAAGCACCAACTGGACCTCCTAGCTCATGGAGAAGAAAAGGAGTTTGACTACATTTTTCCATCCAACTTGACTCGATGTAAGAAACTTTATATATATCAATGTTACTCTCACAATGTTACAGATGAAGCCATCAAGCTAAACAGGGATTATCTATTAGGAGATTACGACAACGTTTTTCATCCAAACTGTTCATATATTGATGGAGCAGGACCGTTCAATCACTGCATACTCAACGTATAAGCTTAACATATCTATATTAAGTTAGCTGTGTTCCCTTTTAGGGGTCAGACTATCAAGAAGAAGTTTTGATGGTCATTGGAAATAGTTATGCTCCAAACAACATACATCCCTTGTATGAATACTGTTCCAAGAAATTTAAAAAGACTGTGATGTATTCTGTCCCAGGTACTCTTTCATTTAAAAAAGTATGTGGGAGATTCATTCATTGAAGCTTGTGAAGTGCTGTACGATACTGTCTTGCAAGGCTATAGTTGCTCTGGACAAACGGAGAAGTTTTTGAACGAAACTGCCTCATATCAACCTGATGTTCTCATTATATACACAAGGTAAGGTTTCATACTTTTAAAATGAAAATATTAAGTTACAGACACTTAACGATAATGCCAAAGAAAGTTCCAACGGAAGAAGAAGAGAAGCAAGCGCAAGAGTTGATTGAAACATACTTGAGCAAGCATGAGAAAAATGTTAGAAGGAAAATATTGATACTTGATGCTTTCCCTCGTCCATCAGGAGATGTTACAAGATTGGTGAACGACGGTTTGCATCTATCTAATGCGACTTCCAGAGATGTCATAGAACAGGTTTGCTTGATGGTAAGGTTTCACTTATCAATCGATTGTTCAGAAGTATTTGGAGGATGTTGCGATGTGGCAGTTAACCCGTTCTCGTCTGAAGACCGCTGTCTCTAAGTGCTCAAAATGTTATTTAATTGATTACGTAGATGTATTCACTAGCGAGAAGGGTGTCTTCCAGTTCTACGATACAAGCACAGGTGTTACCTATTTCAATAGTGGAAGACACTTAACTCCTCATGGCTTACGTAAAGTTCGTCCATTGTACAAAAAGCTCTGCTCTCAAATATAAACGTTCAACATTGATAACTATTTGAATTGTTAGGTTTGATAACTATACCGCCGCCTGAGGAACATAGTCTACTATCCAATTTGAATATTTTAGAAGAAAATCGTTTTTGAGCACGACCGCTCTTCTCAGGCTAAAAATGAAAAATGAATATTGTCATTCATTTCCAGATTCACTCGGGTACAATCTCTGTAATAATTATAGGAAAAAAAGTCTTTCTATCTCAGTGAAATATGAGCAATATATATGGACGACAAGTGATTTCAGTTTCCAGTCCTTCAACACTTGGAAGTGCCTTCTATGCGGGCGGAAAGACTTGAAGACTTTTTTTCTCTTTTTTTAACACGTTTATCCGCAGATTCATCAACCTATTGCCCCCGAAAAACGAAAGATGGGGTTGACTTGTCGTATGACGAATTCCAAAGCCGGGAAGATTAGCAAGACAATATGGTCTTCCAGAATGATTGAAAACATTTTAATTTATAAAATGCGCGATAGTCAGATGACCAGGGTTTCGCTTTTCAAGTATTTTAGCTGACCTGCTCATCAGGTTATGGCTTCTTTGAATCAACTGCTACTTATCCATTTTCAGATAATTCTTCTGTATAATCCTTTGAAATGGCCAAGAGACTAGACCTTCAATGTCTCAGAGGTGTTGCTATTCTACAAGTTTTACTTTTCCATTTCTTCCCCAAATATTTCAAAAATGGCTACATAGGAGTTGATCTGTGAGTTTCAAACAGATTTCCTTATATGACTTCACCTTTTGAG